TTTAAAAAAATTATAATATAATATAATATTACAATACAATACATTTTAGGTATTAATTTTTAATATTATAAAAAATATTAATTTGTCCTATTTGGAAACAGATAAAGAAATTATCCTTAAAACAAATCTAATTAAACTTGAATTTTAATTATGATATCTATATAAACCCCATTACTCTCTCATTTTTAAGACAGATTCAGTTTAGCAACAATCAATTAGCAGGAAGTTAGTGAAGAATCATCATTATACTCATTTTCTAGGTTGTAAAATTATTATCCTCATTCAGGTTTTGCACTTCTTTATTCATTATTTATTATTACTAGCTATTCTCTTTTGTTACTTTTTGTGCACATCAGCCCATATTACACGATATAGAAGCTTCTGTAAAGTTGAGTTCACGTTGACAATGCTTGTAAATATTCATGATTCAACACGACATAAGACTAGAACTTTTCAATACCTAACGAGAAAGGCAGAAGACGCAATTCAGTCCTTGTACTTGTAATGTTGTGGCAGATCAGTCCCTATACTAGAAACTATGGCTAATCAACCCTTCTACTTCATGATATCCGCAAAACAGCCATTTTGGTGAGAATGACATCATCCAGTCGTTAGATCCATCCATTGCTCGTTAAAGCTTGATGAGTTGGCGCTAACTAAGAGTTGATTGGGTGCTGATGTGGACCAATTTACTCCACTTATGTTAGTTGAGATGGCAAGGTAATGTTTTGACTAAACAACCTTTGCCAAAACAAATAAAATTGGGGATCTAGGGTTTCAATCTCACCCTCGGTTACAGCTTTCCCTCTGTTTTGATTTGCTTCTGCTCGTTTCAATTCCTTCCACCCTTACTTGATTTCTTTCCCTTTGTTTTGATTAAAGTTTAGGGTGATTTGGGCCATAAAGATGTCATCTTCAACCTCGTTCCAGTTCGTTTCTTCTCCATCATCAGTTGAAGAATGGGGAAGCGAAGGCAACTAGGTCGCCACTTCAAATCTTTGGGAAGTATTGTTTTTGCTCTATTTTGGCTTTTTCGAGAGGATGAAGGCAATTGGTGGTGGCGATGAGTGATTGGGGATTGAATTGGAGCCATTTTTGTGGTCTTCTTCTAGTTCATCTGTGGATACTCCTTTGAAGTAGCCAGAATGTGGGGTGGTGGAGCTGGTATAGCTTGTCTTCTCCTCATCCAATTCATATGCTTCCTTTTCTTGTTCTTTTTCATCCTCGAATTCTTGTTCTTCAAATGCAGTCCTCTACCCTTCCTGTTCTCCTCCTCCATGGGTAGATCGAATAAGAGAGAACGATTGCAATTTCTGTTTAGAATGGATACTTGGTTCATGAATTTCCGGCGGTGGCGATGATGGCATCTTGTGGCTTCCAACTTGAAATCTTTTTGAAATAGAGCAACCATTAACCAATTCAGAACCTTTGAGTACATTCTCAGCTCCATCTGATGGATAGATAACATCATTTTCCTCTAAATCATTCCACACATAACCATTTTTGTAACTCCTAAAACTCAAAAAATGAAAATAAGTTAGGCAAGAAGAAAAATAGAAACATGAGAATGAAGAACATAAGTCATGTATAAAAGTATACCTTTTGCAAGACCAAGAATACAAATAAGGCATTCCTTTACCTCTAAGAGTTGTGAGTCTTTCCATTACACGTAGGAATCATGAACCCAGAAAGCAAAGACAATAAAAGATGAAAAATTTAAAGTATTTGTGAAATTACACATAGAAAGAAAACGTACACAAAATGGGCAGATACCTTTGAGGCGAAGTGGGTGACTGACAGAGAATCTGCTCTCTCTGTCCTTGGCCTTCTTCTCTTCTTTGTCCTTTGCTTCTTTACTTAATATATCAATTAAATCCATGATTTTTCCCTTGTTAATTGAATGAAGATTGAGTAGTAAACCCAGGTGGAGTAAATTGGTCCACATCAGCTCCCAGTCAGTGCCAACTCATCAAGCTTTAATGGGCAATGGGCAATGGATGGGTCTAATGGCTGGATGACGTAATTCTCACTAAAAGGGTTGTTTTGCGAATATTATGAAGTAAAAGGGCTGATTTGACATAGTTTCTAGTGCAGGGGCTGATTTGCCACATCATTGCAGGTATAGGAGCTGAGTTGCACCTTTCTGCCGACGAGAAATTAAGAAACTTTCTTGGAAATAACCTCGGGGGAGCCAAAACCTTTCTATATATTCCCAATCATCATCTTTACTTTCTTCTATTAATTACTATCGAGATCTAAAATTGACCTTCTCCCAAAATTTTGGAGATTGTCATCTTCAACAAAATCAAGTTAGAGTTTACATCGACTTTCTTCTAAGATGTCCTCAATGCAGGTTTCTAATGTTAGACCAAGGCCGGCGGTTTCAAAGCAACCAATACAGAAAGATGAATTAGCGACGGAAAGTATCACTCCAGCTTCAACTAGAGGAACCGTGGTTAATAATCAGCCAGCAATGCCTCTGTCCCCGTCGAGACGGTCGTCTTTCTCCCAACGAGCAATATCCCAGACTCTAACTGGCACGGCGAACCTCGCTAACCTCCTTCCGACGGGGACCATCCTGGCCTTCCAGGTCCTCATGCCAATCTTCACCAGCAACGGCGCCTGCGACTCCGCCACGCGCCCGATGACCCTCGTGCTCCTCCTCCTCCTCGCCCTCTCATGCTTCCTCGCTTCCTTCACCGACAGCGTGAAAGCCTCCGACGGTCAGGTGTATTACGGGTTCGTGACATTTAAGGGGATGTACTTGTTTGACTATCCCGACCCGACCTGGTTGGGTTTGCCAGACTTGAGCAAGTACAGAATCAGGTTGATTGATGGGGTGCATGCGCTGCTGTCGGTGTTAGTGTTTGGGGCCGTGGCGTTGAGAGATAGGAATGTCGTGAGCTGCTTTTATCCGTCGCCGGAGAAGGAGACAAAGGAGATTTTGGATATTGTTCCAGTGGGGATTGGGCTGATTTGCAGCTTGTTGTTCATGGTGTTTCCGACTCGACGGCATGGGATCGGGTACCCTGTTACTCCTGGCAAATAATTGAAATAATTGTTTTTCAATTATGTGCTTTATTTTGTCTGTACTCCATTACTATTATAGCTTAAATTTATTTACCAGATTTGATCTGTTAGGCAATGTGAGTTTTAAGATGAGTGTATTTTAATTTAGGATTATAAATTTAAATTTATTGTTTGTTTCTACGTAACAAAAGTGTATTTAAATTTTAATTTAAATACATGTATTTTAAGTTATATGTTTTAAAATTTAAAAAACATGTATTTTAAACTCCCTCTTGTACCCACGAATTTGACATTGAATTTCAAATTCTTTGTTCATTCTCTACATCTTCATCCACGATGAGATAACTTTTCTTTGATGAAGCCTAGATGATAGTGTTCAAAATTGTATATTCAATCTCCAAAATCTTTTCTCCTCTTGTTTTTGCTACTTTGTTTGTCTCGACCAGTGTTGATTGAGTTGAACTCACAAAGCAAGTGGTGGTGGACGTCAAGCCACTCATGGAGGATAGTTTATTGATGGTGATAGCAAGACTTTTATAAACCTGTATTTTATTAGAGTTGATGAATTGAGAATGGGCAAAGTGGCCAGTGACCAAAAGTCAAGGGAAAGAAGGGACTTCTTGCTATTGGTAGCACCTATGA